TCTCATGGCCAATGTTAGGGAGGAGCTCAGATTAAATAACAGCACTATTCCCATCTGGCTTCATAATCTACAGATCTATGACGTTTTCTCACAGCACAATAAATTTTCAATTTCAGACTTGATCCTTCTCTACAAGATCCTTTTTATATTCAACTATAAGTTTTTTAGTAGGATCCCTTACTACCTGCCTTTCCCTTTATAATAGCCCTTGTTTATCTTTAATAAATGGCTTTATGTTGTTTACTGTGCTTCACATTTTTTCATCTTCTTTGTGTGTTCTACACAGCACAAGTAGGTATCTTTCAATAAAGACTGCCTGAGAGCAAAGACAAGGAAAGTGAGCAAAAGAAAGACAGATGGGAGGGAAGGTCAAAGGAAGAAAGAAAAGACTGATGAGAATGTTATTCCTGAAGGATTTGAAAATAATTTACTGCAATTCGAGAAAATCTTTAAATGTCAGGGAATAAAGTTCAACTATTTTAAAGAATTTGTAATAATCTTTCTGATTTTGTTACCACTCTCATTTTAATAAAAATAGCTGATCATTTAAACTTAATTTTAACACACTGCAGTGGTGGAACACAGTAGTTATTCATAGTTCCATTTCTTACCTTGCCTTCTTGATGATATTGTAAATTTACACTGGAGTTATCAGTTGAAGAAGGCAGTTACTATGAAGGCAGTTACTATGATGGCAGTTACTATCATGTTACTATGAGTTACATGTTAACTACATGTTACTACTATATTTTAAATTTATAATTGGTATTTTTAAACAGTCATTGTTAGGATACTTATTTCACGAAGAAATGTTGTAAATAAATTTTAGATATGGATTAAGAAGAAAAAAGTAAGTAACTGCACAACACTATATTGCTAGCAAGTCAAACAGGATTGGTATTAAAGTACAAAGTTCCTGAACATATTCAAGATTATAATTATGTAAGCTATGGTATAAATTGAAAGTGTCTTACAGAAATAATTATTTCAGTGCAGGGATAAAAAAGAAAAATCCTTGTAAATTTATTTCTACAAACAAACCAACAGAAAGAGGAAAATCTTTGAACTTCCATTATATTGACAACTTTATCTATGTTTTATACAGCATAGTGTTTTTAAACACTGTTAACTTAGAGACAACACCATCTTTTTTTCTTTTAACTGAAGAAGTGGGGATGAGACGGGTGAGAGATAATCCAGCTGAATATTTTGTTGGATGAATTAGTTTTACTTGAATGCAACTGAGAACTCTTGGAGACTGAAATACAGTAATATACCAAAGGATACTTGCTACTTGTTATGTTTCACAGTAGTCTCTCACAGAGAAAAAGTGTGTTAAAGCAAGACAGAAAAATTTTAATACTATTTGAACTCTGAATGTTGGTCAAGGTTCAAGTTTCAATGCTAATTCTGATTTCTGTGGCAAAAAATAAATCAGAAACTCCTGACAGACATAAATTTTTAAAATTCAAACTGGCTGGTATGTCATCATCCTGTTAGAAATGTCCTGCAGAATTCCCATCCACTGGAAGCTGTGCATTAAAATAGGCACTAAGAACATTAAAGGCATTATGGTATGGCTAAAATATTTATTTAGATACTTATGAAGAGCGCTATTTTTGGTGAACCAAGTTAAAACTAAGCGATAAAGTACAGCCACCTATCATTAGATGAATCTGAGCCAAAATGCTCTACCTCAAAGCATCTATAATCTCACCAGATATCGCAAATCTCTACCTCTAGTACAACTAATTTAACCCAGACTTCAGTTCTATGCTGGCAGACAGAGTGCAAGTAGGCTTTAAGGTTAGGACAGAACATTTACTTCCCTTAGGCAGTGCCATATTTCCCACTTATGCTGAACTATGCTTAAGCTTTTTATCTCCAAAGGTTGACCGTTCTCAGGCCCAAATCTGAAGGATGCTGAGTACTTTGTGGGAGGGGCTGAAAGGTTTTAAAACCTATTGATGGAATTGCTTGTAGATGACTTTCAGCTCTTCTGGAGGGCAGATGTGGAAGAGGTGGCAGAATCAGATGCAAACATGTTAAATTTTCCTAACATAATGAAAACCTATTATCATGGCACATTGAATTCATACCATAAGTCTAAACAACAAAAGAATTAGTTTTACACTATTCTGCCAGAAATGAGCAGCACACTATAAGTAAATCACATTGTTTATACTACTTATTCTGTGTGCAATGAAAACAAGAACAGCTGTTCCTTGACGGCTCAGTTTGTGAAAAATGAGCAAATGTACACCTCTAGCTGTTATAATAGCAAAGTTTACAAGATCTGCAATCCTTTCCCTTACATTCTGTTTTTCTTGGCAATTACAAAGTCAGTTACTAATGTTCTTTCCAGTTAAAAAAGTGCCACAAAATACCTGTTGATGTAGAAAAAAAGGAAAAAAGGGGGGTACTGGGGAGGGGTTTTGGTCAACCTATTGAGAGGTTTTGGTTTTTCCCCTGAAAGTAGGGAAAAACCTCATTGGCAAAATTTCCTTTTACAAGATATAAACAGTGTCAAATAACAGAAAATATAGCTTGTGCATTACATATTAAAGGACTAATCCTGGCTCCACAGACAGCAATAATATATTCTTTCACTTGATCTGAACAGGACTAAGATTCAAGAAGGACTGAATGGGCCTATAATGCGCAGCATTCTGGGTAAGCCACACAGCTGTCAGCAAACACGTCTTACAATCTCTTATTTAAGTTTAAGTTTCATCTTGAAATCAGTTAAATTCCTTGCCAGCAAGATTCTTCTGAGGACCATGCATGTCTGACACATGGGAATCTATTTCTCATTTCCAGCCTAAATGTACTGAAAATATGACACTGATTTGATCTCATACCTTTTACTTTAATAGTTCTTCCTCTTCAGATCTCTTTTATTGCCAGACTGAAGTTGCTAAGCCCTTCTTTTTTTCCAACACATCAGACCCTAAAAGTGGTCCTTTGGTCCCTTCCAGTTTCAATCAGTTTTTCTTGTAACAAAGGTGACTCCAAATTTACAATTATATCTCAACAATATTTTGTACAATGTCAAGCAAGCATCTCTTTATCTCTAGATATCCTATGGTTTATATGGCCTGGATGACCATTATACACTTCTTTGCCATGGCACTTTGACAGTCCATAACAAACCATAAAAAAGATAGTTTATTTTATCATTTTCAAATTAAATTTATTCAGGATAGCTATTTTTATATGTTCCTGCACTGAAACTGTAACTTTGATACCTCTCTCTCAACCCTGTGTACCACTTTCAGTGTGACTTTAAAGAACAGTTCTAGCTCTTCTCAGCCAAAATTCTGGCAATTAGTTTCTAAAGGTATAGCAATGATATACATTATTTTCATGGCCAAGGTAATAGTCTCTTGCAATTATCTGTATGGCCTTAAGCTTTTGCAGTGTGGTATTATAAGATTTCTCTTTTATTGCCAAAGGTAAACTGCACTGCACATTCTTAAATTCATGGCTTTGAACCCAAGGATGCATAACACTGTAGCTCCACCTTAGATTCTAAATAGCTCCAAAGGCAAAACCCAAACTATAAAAGTTCTGCCTATTGCTTCTTAGCTTTGATTATGTTTTTAACACATAAAGAAAGCCGCTTGCGTACAACAAAGACAGTCAAGTCTTATTTTATGCTTTTAAAAATCAAGATGCAGCAGCTTCTAGAATTGTAGAAGACATTTAGGCTTCTGAAATCCTTCTCCTGACATTAGTGTGGGCCATTTCAATACTCATGATTAAGTAAAAAGTACAGAGAGGACCAAAGCTGCTACACGTAGGCTCTCATGGAAACTGGAGGATATAATGGCAACCAGAGCTGTGCTCGACCAAGCGCTACTGAGATGGATGATGTGATAAATAGGTATGATTCATGCTGATAAAAATTGAAACAGTAATCAATATTGACACAGTAATTAATATTTGGGAATAATAAAATAGTTAAAAGTTGTAATGCCAAAGAAGAGAGGGAGAGGAGGGGCTCCACCCCCACTCCCAGCAGATGTTCTCAAGGACCACAGGAAAGAAGCTGAAGATGCAGTTGCTAAAAATGAGCAAAACCTAGTTGGGTCCTAGAAAATGCTAATTATAAGGGATTTATTGCATTGTTATGTAGATCTAGTGATATGTTAGTCTTGGCTTACATTGTACTAGCTTGATGCACATGTGTAACCCAAAGGTGAATTAAAGGACACAGATGAAGACTACGAAATCTTCATCAGACAACCCCCAAAGACTTGTGCGACCACCAAATTGAGTGGTGCCGCATGCATGGTAAAGGTGGTAATGAAGACAGAGATAGAAGTATGATGAACCGAAAATAGGAGGAGATGGCATTTACACATGGCATAAAAGGGGGGAATCTTTACTTGGCAAGCTTGTACGTGATGTGGCAAGGGTCCAAGAACCCTGCATTCTGTACCCTGCGGTTATCTTTTGCTTATGCGCTATTATTGGAACCAAATTATCCCTTATTTTAATCAAATTATATTGTATCCAATTTTATATTTTTTATTTTAACTATTCAGTTAAAATTGCTACACTTTTAATATTGCTTGGGGTTTTTTTATGATGGGATAATTGGGCAAACATAACAATGACAATTAAAGGGCCCGGTCCGGGAGCACTGGCAGTGCTGTACACAACAGTGGCAGCAGGCAGGCTCTCAATGGCTCTTGGCTTCAGCTACACCCGAACCCTGATCGGGCGCCAGCTCATCACGCACTGCGGTGGCTGCCTTCAGTCTCATCACAGCTGGGTGTACCATGGAGCTGCGAGATCATGCTGCTCTCCCTCAGAGAATCGATGGATTTCAGCTTTAAAAAGCGTCTCGCAGCTAGGGAAGGTGGAGAGGAAACTTAGCCGGGGTGCGCCCTCCGTTTTGTACGGCATCGCCACCACACCTCAGCTGGGCTGAGGAAGGAAAAAGAGCGGGTGGGAGGGAAGGAAACGCTTGCTTCCCGCCGAAACTACATTTCCCAGAGTGCCTCCGCCTCGCCGGCTTCCTGCCCTCACATGACAGCTGCCTGGCTGCGCCATGGCGGAAGCCGGGGAGAAGGTAGAGACTGTCAATGCACTGTGGCCGCAGCGCCGAGGAGCGCGGCTCAGAGCGGGACGGCGGAAGCGCGGCACCGGGGCGGGGGCACCTGGGAGCGGAGGGGCGGAGGGACAGTGGGACAGTGGGACAGTGCCTGTGCCAGGGGCAGAGGCCGGCAGCCAGCCCTGCGGGGTGCGGGGCCGTCGGAGGGAAGATGGAGGCAGCGGAGCCGGGGTCTGCCCGGGGAGGGTGGGTTTAGAAGTGTGTCCGACGCCGCTGTGGAGCCAAGAGGGGACACAGAGACATGACCAAGTGCATTTCAACAAGGGAATTTATTTCTGAGAAAAAACCTGAGGATTTTGGTGCTGTTTCCTTAACTGGGTGTTCTCCTAAAGCTCTCCGTCCCTAGATTGCTCTTTCCCAAGAAAAAACTAAAATAAAGGAAAAAGTGCAGTTCCTGGCCTTTTCAGGTACTTTCTAAATGCTTCTTTGCTGAGCCAGTGTTTGAACAGACAGCTGAGCTGTGCAATATTTGTCAGTCATAGATGCCTAAAAGTGAGAGAGTCTTGGAAATACTTCAAGGTAACCGGCCGTGAGAAAGTTAGAGCATCTGGTTTCCACCTTCCCTGCTGACAGAGTTTTGTTGGGACGGCTTGGCTTCCTTGGGGGAGAATTTTTTCCCCCGAGATTGATGCGTTTTAACTGTGGCAGCCTTTGGAAGGATGAAACAAACTTGGACAAGTCTTCTCTAACAATACAGTAGATTAAACTAGCCTATGTTTTGCTCTCTTTGGACTGTGATAGGAGTGTTACTTTATTAATTTTGGTTTATTTCCTGTGGGTAGCATGCACACCTCTACTGAAAGGGCTGTGTGTATGTTGTGCATGTGTTTCTGTAAAACTCAACTTTTGTATCTTTCAACTTCTGTCAGGTTTACATTATGAGCCTAAACACATAGTGGATTACATATGGTGTTTGTAAAACCAGGGGAAGGGAAAACCCTATACCCATCATACTGGAAAGCCCACTTAAGAATATTTTGAGAAGTTATGTTGAATCTTTTAAATGAGAGATTATAATGGTGAGAGATTACTTCATATTTCTATGGTTTCCTGATCTGTATTCCCTTACTTCATTCTTGGGCTACTTAAGCAACAGTGTTTGTCAGCTGGCTGAAGTGTACTGCTGATTTTCCCCTAGAGTCTGAGATTGCTAAAGACTGCTATTAGCAGTCTATATATAAAGACTGCTATTCCTACATGATTTTGGATTCTGGTTGTCTACAAATCCCTTTTTAGGGATTTCCTTTCCACAGTTACAAGGCTACTAAAAAGTGGAAGTGGAGGATAATGCTTTCAGCTCATGCATTGGGAGGGAAGGCAAAGGAAGCTAACAAAGCCCCAGGGCAATCATAACTACAGTTTACTGTTTAAGTTTGCCTGAACAAGTCGGAAACCCCAGGGAAAAAGCTTTTCATAGTAAGTTGCTACGAAAGTGAGTTTGTAGGTAAGTATCAATTCTAAGCACCTTCAGTTAACTTCTTGTCAGAGAACAAATACAATATTTGCATTGCTTTCCTAAGCCAAAGCTCCCTCTGATTTTTTCTATGTTATTTTCTGCAGGAAAACATAAATGCCATGAAGCATTTACCTGTATTAGTATGCCATTTATGAAATGTAGTATCTGATATTGCAGTGCCTTGTGAACACAGTAGGGATACCAGGGTAGATGTCCTAAATAAAAATAGATAGACGTTTTCTTAGTTCACACGGATTGATTATTGGAATCAACTTCTGGCATGCCCTAATTTTATATGTCAATATCCTCTAGGGATGCCTTGCACGTAACCTGTGGCTGAGTTAAGTGGCTCAGGTGGGTGTGAGGACCAGCTGCTGTCTCAGTAAGTGAGCTGATAACTCCATCCTGCACGTGTGTTGGTCTGACAGCACGGTGTTAGATAGTAAACTCATCCTGAAAGTAAGTTTCTGTTCCTAGACAACCATGAGGGGCAGATGTAGTTGGTATAGCTGCACTAGCAGAAATGTCACTTGCTGTAATTCCATTGTTTGGGAGAGATTTTTTTTTCCCACTCTTTGTGAATACCACAAAATACCACAACAGTAGTGCTATTAATTTTGATTTATTAAGGATTTGAGTAGGTTGCTCTTGGTATTCAGAAGAGAAAAGCATTGTTTTTTATAAGGAATCTGATGATGCTTTGTGTTGGACTTTGTGTGTTGTTCTAGCTCATCCAGTCAGCTGGCAATATTAGACCACACTGTTTTAGTTCAGTTCTCACTTGGTTATTGTTAAGATGCACAAAGATCGTATGTAACAAAATTGTAATTTCCTGAAAAGTTACAGCAGCTTGTGATTAGAGACTGGGAGATCAACAGACAAGCAGTTGGGCTTGCAAAGTTCAACCTAAACTTCAAAGGATGCCAGGATTTTACTCCATCTTCCCTTGATTCCCATGTACTTTTAACTTGCAATTCCCAATTCATGACACAAGTGTAGACAACACTGATAACCCTTCAATGGGATGTGTATTTTAGAGGTGAGTCTGTCTGTAGTGTGTAAAATGGAGGAAATGGATGCCAGTGATTGTGGTAACAACTTGCATGAAGCTTCCAGTATCTTCCAGTAGTGCTGCTTTGCTTCTGTCCCATTTGCTGTGATGGTCATGATGGGCATCAATGGGAGCCTCCACTAATGAAAAGGAAGCCTTTGCTTTTGGTGTACAGGTCACAATCAGTGCATTATAGAAACATAGAAAAGAAATAAATATGAGAAACAAAAATTTACACTGGTTGTCAGTGCATTAAATTTTCTCCCTTTTGCATTTTTCTCTAAGCTGTTGGTAAGGGTGTAATTTATTTTTTTTTTGGTCTGGTCTGGTGGAATTGTATATCTATTAATCTTACTCTTCAAAGACTCCCTTCATCAGATTTGAAATGCTGCTTTCTCTCTTACTTGTTCTTTGTTGATATCATATTTTATTGTTAAAATGCTTACATTCACTGCTGGTGTATTAGTTGTAATCCTTTATTGCTATTGATAAAGATAAATACGTTAAGTAAATCTTCGTTTTGCTGACTTCTTTGCGGAGGCATTTCATCAGCAGATTTTCTCAGTGAGCAGATGAGAGATGAGCTGGAGTTGACTTAAAAAAATTTTTTTCCAGGGTAGAAAGAATCATCTTGCCAGAGAGATGTTTTAAAGGTACATTTGTTTCGAAGGCAGGAGAAAGCCACATCTTGCATTAGCATCACATGAGAAGGAGAAAGTCATTGAATGCTGGATTTCTATGGAAAATGGTTTGAAATTATTAAAGTTTAAAATAAGCCTATTAACAGCTAAATAGTTGAATAGCAGAGGGGGCTTGTGGATAACTTGAGAATGCTGTTCTGCCATGAAAGTCAAGATATGGGCAGTTTCTTTGCAGAATTTACTACTGCTTCTGGAAGAGGGCAAGATAATCACAGGGACAGATTCTCAGATCCCCCAGTCACTCTCCCTTTTAGGGTAAGTGACAGCAGAGTCCCTGCTGCTCCCAAGTCTCACTGAAACACTCAAATGAGAGTGCAAGCACAAATCCAGTATGAATGACAAGGATGGAAACTCTGAACTTTGAGTTGCTTCTGCTTTGTCTTTCATTTCTTAGTAAGGGTTTAAAAGTACTTCTTAAAGGGAAATACTGCTCGATTATGTATATACGTAGCTAATTACGCCTTTGTTTTTTGTGTCCTTTTCAGGAAACCAGGTCTTATGAGGAATCAACAGATGAATCTGAGGTAACCCTTCTTAAAATGTTTCGTACTTGGATTTGTGTCAGTGTGGTCAGTGCTAGTTTTTTTGTCAATATGGAGTGAAAAATACTATTTCACTGGTTGTTTTAAGAAATTTGGCCAGTATTATGTACCAAGGATTGTTACTCTGATCTTAAATTATTAAAAAGAAGCTGTGAGTTGCCATTAGAAGCTTTATATTAAAAAAAAACACATTCACCCCATTTCTGTAAAATTAATTATGTTGAGAGATAAGTTGAAGTGCATTTGCTTTGTTTTGGTAAAATGAAAAATTGTAAGTATAATTATATATGCAGTAATGCTACTTTGTTGTTTTAATAGCTTCACAATCTGAACCTAATCATGTCCTGTAGACGCTCTATTCTTGAGATGATGTTTTGTCAACAATTGTCTCATTTTCTGGAGAGGTCTGCCTACACTGCTGTAGGTGATGGGAAAAGGGGGGCCTGCAGTGAAGAGAGGAAGGAAGCTGGAGAGAGTTAAGAGCTTGTCTCTGAGCAGTAATGTTATAAATAAAGCTCTTAGGAAGATTTTGTTTTTTACCAAGGGACAAATCTCCATGCTGAGTTCAAGCGCTAAGCAGACAGAAATCCTCATTTCTATGACAGTGGATAGTGCAGACACTGTAGTGGTGGATTCTGAAAAATTCTTTTTGCAGTGGAAGGTGGCTTTATTTCTTGTGAGGTATTTTTTTTTCTTTTTGCCATTGAGTGGTTGTCTTCAGTGGCACTGAATGGCAATACGGGTGAGAAGCAGAGGTTTTTGGCCCTTTAACATTGCTCTGTGGAACAGCTGCCCAGGCCAGACTTTTTTTGTCCATTCATTCTGAATAGTGCTTTGTGATGTGGAGATAAACAATCACTGGGCAATGTGTCAGTAGAATAGTAATCCTCTCAAGGCTTGACATTCACAGCATAGTGAGCACAGATACTTACCTGCTGAGGTGCTTTTTTTTATCTTAAAGCTTATTGCAATGAGAAAATGGCACTTTTAGTGGCCTTTCAAGATTTCAGCTTTAGCAAATCATTATTTACAGCGGAATTAATCATAAATGGGCTGCCAGGTTGGTGGAGGTTTACTCATTTTTCCCTTAAGAAAAATAGGCATCATGCATCTTTCACAAAATTTAAAGTCCTAAAATTTCAACTAGACCTATGTTAAAGTTGACATCTATTCTTAATGTTAATTTCACATGCAGAGAGAAGTGAAAAGAAAATTTATATATTGAGAATGCAGATATTGGGTTTAAAGAACACTTGTCATTCTACTGTCTATGAAAATGCTTTGCATTTTCCATCTTTAAGTCTAGTCTTAAGTATCTTGATCATCAGTACGAGAAATGACTCCTCACTTTTAAAAATTTCAAAGGTTCATTAAAAGCTTAACAAAATACAACAAATGAGTGAATAAGGAAGAAGGACAGCGCACTTGGAGTAGGTGACCCAGCAGCCACAGGCTGGCCTACAGAATGGCTGCTCTGTGTTTTACCCCCCGGGGGTTGCACTGGACAGCCCTGTCCCCTCTTAAAGTCTGTCAGTCAACTCTTCTTCGCCGTTTGCTGGTGGAGATCACTTTCTTACAACTTGGTTGGAGGTCAGGTGTTGCCATGCCATGTCTCCTAGTGACGAGCCTGCCCCCCTCCCAAATGCCCCTGCGAGGGGCACAGGCACCTGCCCTCCTTCCACATGTCCCCATTACCAAGGCCGTCCCTTGGCAACAGTACCGGGAGAGGAAGGGGACTACGGGGAGAACAGAGGACATCTAACCAACAAATCACAATAACATATCTATACATCAATAAAACTTCTCGTAACATGCACATAATAGTCATCTCTTTATTGTGAGAGCCACCCATCACGTTACCCATCTATACCAATCAGAAAATAGCTAATAGAATGAAACTGATTAGACTGTTTCTAAAGATTGTTCAGATAAAACCAAAATGGTAAAAGCACAAAGTGCAAAAATGTTCTCAGTGCTTGCTTATATTACCTGAAGTATTGTCAGAGCTTAGATCAAACTGATGGCTTCACTCCTAGCTCTTGTGATCATAAAATTGTAATTATTTCTTTTGAATGGCCTATAGTTTGAATAATCAGGATGTATTTTATGGTGGTGGTTCTAGAATCAGACTCTGATTCTTTCAGCCTGTGTTGTTTTAGCCGCTAAAAATATATTTATAGCATGGACTTTATGACATCTTACCATAGCACTAAAAATTTTTACATATACAGTTACTCTTGCAATAAAATTAATTTAAATTCTTTGTATAAAGTTGAATAGTGTTACTAATTATTCCAGAGGGCACATTACACATATCCAACTTACATTGTAGATGTGCTTTCTGTTATGGAGAAATGAAATATTAAAAATTCCAATTTTGAGTAAATTATACCCCTAGATGTGTAAACAAAGTATGGATATTTTTTTTCTGATGTTTTTACCCTTCTGTGCCATTATTTTAGCAAAGAATCAAATATACATTAATTCTGTTTCATGCAGCAACTCTCTTACTATCATTCCTTTAGCATCTTCTACCAAATAAGATTCTAGTGCTGTTTTGCTACCTGCTTGGTTTATTTTGAAGGACAGACTCTTTAACAATTGCCAGGATGCCCATTTGCACAGACTTGGTGGTAGAGCTTAATAGTAAGCCTCAAATGTGGAAGTCTACAAAAACTGTCTTGAATGTATGTCATCTGAAAGCTCATCAATGTAAGTTTGGTTCCAGCAATGGCTGCACAGGAAATTGAGTTCCTAAGGCTGCCCTGGTGTAAAATACTTCTCAGCTATTTAAGTCAGAGTGTGTAAAATGCAAAGGTATCAATGAGCAGAGATGGTGCATTTGTTTAGATCTTAAGTGGACCTTTCTTTCAATATAGAGATAGCTGAAATTACTAGTAAAATTTGTAGAACTGGTAGCACTTGTAGAAGTGCTATTACATTTCTTTCCTGGTAACTACAGTACAGCTGGCACTTTCCTATCATGTTCTTATATCTGATTTGGGGTATTACATGCTTTTTCTTTTCCCATAGTCAGACTACAATATATTATGCCAGGCTATGATGAGGAAGCTGTATATCTAATAGTCCTTTAATTCTTAGGGGAAAACCTCCTTCTTTTGTGAAGTAATTTTACTCAGTCTTGAAACACAGGTATTTTCTTTTTGTATGTTTGGCTTTAGACATTTGGTTTTGGTGTTTTTTGATGGCGTTTTGGGTTTTTTTGGGTTTTAAATTTTTTTTAAAGTATATTTGCATTACTTTACCTTGTCTAATCATCACATATGCAGCCAGATTTGAGGGTGGATCTGAGCAGGTTTGTTTGGCTGAAAAATCCTAGTTTCAATGTGGTTTCATTGGCTTACTTAATTTTATTTTACAGCACCTGAAGCTATATGTTTGAACTGTCACATTTGATGAGATCTAAAAAGTAGATAGCAAAGTAATCAGGCTTTTGGCTATTTGGAAACTGTGGAGGGAAAAAATATCCATAAATTATGTACAGCCTGAATCTGAATTTATTTTCAAATTATTTTTCTTCCTTGCAATGCATCTGTTGCTGTAAAATCTTTTCGCAGTTGAGCTGTTTTCTGTCAGACAGATAGTTATGTTTTGCCAACTAATTAGCAAAGAATAAAAGACTTAAAATTTTCTCCTTCATTCTAATTTACCACAGGGATTATTAGCAGATTGTGCTGATCCAGCATGTGACTTTTTTACAGGAAGCACCCTTTCAAGAACAAATGTTCCTGGAATTATAAATGCATGCTATGTCCCAAGAAAAGGTCCTTGATTATGTAAGGCATAAGTCACTGTTTGTGGTTTTGTTTCTTTTTTGACGCTGCACTACAGCAGAAATTTTTTTTGCAATTGTTTCCTTATTAAACTACAAAAAAAAAAAAAAAAGCCACGTGGGTGCAGATGTTCTGCAAAGAGGTATTAGAATAGTATTTTTTAAAGATGGTACGCTGATATCTGTATTCTTGCATTTTTGATAGATACATCAATGTGTTAGTCATCAGTATTGAATATATTTTCATTCTAGAACTTCTATTTTTATATGTCACCTTAACATGTTTTTGCTGTTTTGATCATTGTTACCCTGGGAAAAGGTCATGTTTGTTCCTTTAGTTTCTTGATTAGTTATTTGAACACTATATTAGTAAATTCTATGAGAGTTTGTAGAGAGAAAGGTATTGTAGAAATTCCTGGTTAATCCAGTGCTCAAACTATTTCTGGTGGTTTAGAAATATCCCTCTCTGATACACTTTTACCACTGAGACTAGTGGCAGTTTATTCTTTAGGGTTTTGAAAACGGATCAGAGCAGGAACACAGCTAGGAAAAAATGTAAGCCTTAAAAAAAGGCAACTAAAAAGCCTTGATATTTCTTTCTCTTTTCAGTGCACTCCAAGTTTTAGTCTTGTAGGTTGGGTCTGGATTAGGTCAAAGCAATTAAATCATTTCGAGTAAATAAAGCATCTGGTGAAAAAGGCTCCTTGTCATATTGTGTTTCCATCAAAGCGTTCTCTTAACATGGGGTGTGGAGCACTGGGCTGGAAGAGGTAAGCTGTTCTGTGGATAGTAGCATTTGAAGGGGCATCAGCATTGCAAGAAAAATGGATGCTTGAAAAGTAGATGTGGCTGCTGTACTTCACTCAGAGTTGCCTTTTTTTGTCTACGGTCTGACCTTTTCCAAAGTAATTATTTTAATGATGCCACTTTTCCTTATTACTGAGTAGTTGTACACTAGATTATTTTTTTAAATGTAAAACGGGAGAAAAATGCTCAAAAAATGTATTCTGTTTCATATATTGGACATCTGAAGAGAGATTGCTTCTCTCTGTATGGCTTTAAATTAAATTGGCCTTTTGGGGAGAATGGAAGGAACCGTTACATAAATTCCAAGTACTAAGTTCTCCTTATTGATGAGGAAATGTATCACGCAAATAATTTATCAATTTGAGTCAGTAGGGTGAGCATA